GCGGCGGTCTTCGAGGATCAGGTCATGGATTTCATCCGTATTTTCGTCTGTCGCTGCGAAACGGGCCGTCCAGAGCGTGGCTCATCTGTTACCTCGAAATGGCCGGTTCGGAAACGTGCCACCCATTTCTTCGCCATTGTGAGGGAAGGGCAGTCCTCCTCTGGAGTCGACAGCATCTCAGAGTGAATCTCCTGCGCTCGTTTCCCTTGCAGGAACAAGAACTTCATGGCCACGGCTTGTCGACTTTGCTGAATTCCGGTCTTGATGCCGCCATCATGAGTTCAAACTGCTGAAGGAAGCAAACTAACGGTCGTACCGGACTTTCACGGCGTGTGCGCTCTAGCGATGAGCGTCTGGGTAAAGGTTGCGAACTTTTCAGCACCCGCTCGTGTTATTTAAAGCACTCAAGAAATTGCGACGAAATAAGGTCAAAGGCTTTACTTAGTTATTGTGCTGACCTATAGATAATATTATAAAAATGATCTCAGTTGGTAACAAGCGCACAATGATAAAGTAGCAATGTTCCTCACTATCGCTTTTCACTATTCACTAAGTTCCCTATTCGCCACATAGTGAGCCTTCAGCCATTATATATACTGTACAGTATATAAATTAACCAGGTATGTTCCCAATCGGAAACATGATGCAGTGAAGGGTTGCTACTGTATTGCATTCAAATTTCGATATAACAACCCTGAAAACCTGATTAATTTCTTCCCGCTCTTGAAGCAAAATTTCGAGTGCATTTTGCATAAAATCGAAACGATCGAGCACCGTCAGGAAACCCTTTCCTCTTAAACTTGTACGCCACCAGAACGGATGCAGAATCCGGCATGTTTAGCATGTCTCGAGCCATCGATATCGGGCGATTCGCGAAAATTTCGTGTGGGAAACGTATTTAGAAAAGTTTAAAATGCTGATTTCGTGCTTTTGGCCATATATGCCGGGTGGGTCACCAATTTTTCACATATCAGGCCCCCCCCCCCTCCCCCCTCCCATTGGGACTTTCTGGGCACGCTACTGCTGTTCGTATGGCCTGGGAAGAACGTAGTTTAAGCAGTACACCAGACAACCTGTAAATGTAAATGGTGGTGGTTGTAAATGCATAACCCCAAGGTCATCATTTTGAAGTTATATACGGACTATTGTGCAACCAGAACATCAATTTTTAACATTAAGTTAAGAGTAAATAACCTTGACCTTAGGGAATCACGAAGTGCATCTTAGGATCTCCCTCGCCTTCGCGCTCTTAGGGTAAACAGTTCATGCTTACTCTCGCTTTAGGCCAGTGCATGGTGAACATTTTCAGCTGATTTTCCATCTGAGCTGGAGTGCCGTTTCTCCAAGATCGTCGAAAAATTAAATCTCGTGAGTGCACCTAAATCAAAGAATCGATTGCAAAGGTCGTGCTACACCTATTAAAATTAGGGCTGTACCGATGGCCGATTATGATCTCATGCCTATCGGCTGGTGCCGGCGCATATTGTGACGTGTAGAGAAACATCGAAGAATCATTTTACTAAAATTGTTCTTTCATTCAAATAGACCTATTGGGAAGCCACGTACGATTTTATTCGGGCTATCACGCTGGGTGTTTCGAAGACATCCATGCATCGACCTGAAATGTCAATAGTGCATCGATGCACCCTGGGGCTGGGGGGAAGGAGATTTGAGTTTCGTCGTTTCTTGCCTCGGTCGAAGCGCGGCCCCCTATCCGAATTCTATAATCACTTGCTTGTGATGGGGGGGGGGGGGGGGGGGGGGGGGGGGGCTGGTACAGGTTGTCTGGTCTACTGCTTAAACTACGTTCTTCCCAGGCCATACGAACAGCAGTAGCGTGCCCAGAAAGTCCCAATGGGAGGGGGGGGGGGGGGGGGGCAGACCTTTGCGACTAGTGATAAAACGCACCATGCCTCCTACTATCGAAAATGACATCCTTATGTCAATCGATGCATTGGGGCAGCCCTAGTTAAAATGGAAACTTAATAGGAAGGACATTGTACAGTAATGAGCATTCGTGTAATCATATCTTGTAATGAGCATCCACGAGAGGAATGAAGCAAAGCATTCGTATCCATAAAGCTGATTTGAAATTAAGATCTCTTGCTTCTGATTAATACCACATTGAGGATACCGCGAAAAATTCATCCGTCGGATATTTCAACAGTTTTAATGTGAAATTTACATCAACCTTAAATTTGCCAGCAAAAAAAAGTCGCAAAAAGATCCAGTTTGAAATCCAATAACGGGGGAACCTTCATGAGCGTGATTGCGGCATCGATCCGAAAGGAATCCATTGTCTTCAATGGATTCTTGTCTGACCTTGAGTTCCGCCATTTCATCATATCGATTCTGTCTTTTGATGAAACTCTTCCCGCACCCAAAAAGCAAGGTCGGGAAACTGCAGGGACTTCATCGAGAGCAGCCTTGCCCACAGCAGATTCCTTGCTTTCTTTGTCGTGGAAAAAAAGTTGCCCGAAGGATCCAGTCGAAGTACAGGAAAGCATATGAGTAGAGTCCTTCATTTCCCATTATCGCAACCTGAGTCAAGGACTTCCGAGGTTTTTTTTTTATTTTTTTTTTCCTCGGCTAAACAAACACTCCATGTCTGAAAGGCTGTCATCAATCACGTCACTGTAATGTCTCATTAAACGCACGTCACGTTATGTCTCGAATTGCCTTCGATGTCCCCTGCCCGGTCTAACAATGCCAACGGCAGCTCGATCACGTACCGTCCGCGAATTCTGGAGAAAAAAAAAAGAAGTATATCGGTGATGACGGCGAGAGTGATCATAAAAGGGAAAAGGAGGGCATCTAAGATGTGGAGGTCCTCTCAACTCTCAATCCACCAATCAGGAGCGACTGAAAATCATGTGATCTTTGGAGGATGGCACGCGATTCGTTAAGGCTGATTCTTCCTTCGGGCGGTTTCTCGCTGAAGGCCTTTACAGATGAGAATGGGATCGTGCTGGAAGACGTATGATGCCATAAGCCCATAATGGTTGTAACCTGACCTTGCCGATCGGCACCTTGACACCTTTGTGAGGCATTTTTTTTTGTCGGATGAGGCTGACACTGACTTGTGTCGTTCCCTGTGCAGATTAAATCGACAAAACTAAAACTCGGAGAGGAAATCCCTTATGCGCGCCTCTTAAATTATTTTGAGTGGAAAAAAAAAGAATTTGGGTGAGGAGTAATTTCTTTTTATAAGACTGCACCATGGCTGCGTGTCGCTGTTTGCAGACACCCTTTGACTAGACGTCGTCTGACGACATGCCTTACGAAGAGAGAATGTTTGGAAGGCTTACAATGATCAAAACAGCATCAATTAGCTGCAGGCAAGGACTTATGCTGGATTCACACAGATTCTGTTTAATCTAATCTGCAAATAATCTCATCTGCCACAATGTAGAACAAAGTAATCTTTAAAATACGGAGCCAAGAGAAAGGAAAAGAAGAAAACGTAATGTCTCAGCACGACATAACGAGTGTCACAACTTCAACTGGCAATAGTAAGATTAGCATCGTTAATAATTAAATGATTAAAGGACAAGAAGCGTAGCTCACCTTCGATGCAGCTCAATTCGCTCTTCCTTCCCTATTGGCTGCAATCAGCTAAATTGTTTGGATTACTCGGGCTCCGCCCGAGCCCGCCCATGCTCCAATCTCGTTTGTTTCTAATTGTCTTCGGTTACAGCCAGCTTAAGGCTCTCGTATCCTACTGAACGGAAGTAGCAAGGTAGAGATTTACGAAACGGGATCTTAGCCAGGTAGCAGTTAGAAGCACACGAAGGAACACACTCTCCTGCTTATATGGGATTTCTTTCGTCAGTCCACGTCATGGCAATATCGGACGCTGATCGGCTGTCAGACTTCAGGATTTCACAAAAAATGGGAATGGGATCTGACCTTGGCTCCATTTCGACGGCTTTCTGTGGGAAAAAAAATTGGATCGCGAGAAGGTAACCCTTTTCCTTCCTACTGGGCTGAACTAAAGAACAATATTCGGCTTTTGGTTCGCTTCTATTGCTTCAAATGGAAAGTAGGTCTTATGCTCTGCAGTCCACTACACCGTATTGCGAGTATTCCAGAGTTTCATTACACTTGACTGTAGTGTTTTTCAATCGAGTTTGACACTTTTCACATCTGAGTTTAATAGGATGGGTTGACTTCGAAATTCTACCCTTGGATGGGATATTGGCCAGGAACTGAAACAGCTGAACTCGACGCTACCATGCAAGACTTTCAAGAACGCGAGTGGCGAAAGTCGTCGCCTAGTCACTCCTCAGCAAACCACGTGGGAAACATGCTGTCCGTTCTGCGAACCCTCCAGTCACCAGCTTTCACCCAAGATGGCGACTTGCATAGCGAGCGTTGTCGATGACCTTGGTTGTCTTTAGTCAAATCGCGTTTCGGCATGCTCTAGTTTACGGAGAATTCGGGTTTAGCTCACTATCGGATTCACTTTCCTCTTCTAAGGATTGGGTTATTGCATGTTCGGATGTTCTGAATGGACTGAATGGGTTCTGAATAGGTCAAACGCTATGGACTCCTAGTTTCGGTTGTATGTGAACGTTAGGTTTATGACGTCAAATCGGTAATATGAAGTAAGTCCAAAAATGCACACTCAATTTGATGTACTGTAGGAGTAGCGTAGGAACAGTTTTTCGTGAGTAAGCTTAATCCGAGGATCCAGGCTGATAACTGGGTTGATGATGGGCCAAAATCTAGGCCCAAACTTGGTATGCTACAAGTTTAGCTCTGAAAATCCATTACTACTTGGGCGAGTGGCGGAAAAACGACAGAATGATCGTCAGTGTGTGTATATGTGTGTGTGCATGCATCAATATTTTCCTTATTATTTGATGTCTCAAATGAGATGTAATAAAGGACCTACCACTAATTTTAGGTCTGAAGGCCAATAGAACTCAATGGGCCAGTTGGCATGGCTATTACTGCATGACCTAAGCAGATGATAATCATTTGTCAAGTTCTGTTGGTTTTCAGGTGGCTTGAACACAGGAGGCCATGGTTGTAGGTGCATTCCCAGCTGCCAAGCTGGGAGCTTTGTTAATCAAACAAATAAGTAAACCCATAGCTAATGCCCTCAGGAGTCGAGCAAAGAACAGCTATTTCTTCCGCACCTATGTTTGCATGCCTCCTGCCCAGTGTAAGTATAGGTTCATGATTGCCTATTCTTTGGTTCTACTTTCATAGAGAGACAGAGAGAGAAGCATAAATGTGTGTCTTATTTTTCTTAGATGGAGGGGATTGTATGTGATAAACTTATGAAGAGATTAGCATTGCATAGGATGGGTTCAAAGAGAACCAAAGTAGGCTTTCCACACCTGGAGGAAAAAAAATTAGTAAACGCATTAACTATCAAAATTATTTTGCCTTTCTTTCCCTTGAGGCCAAGGTTGTTCCTCTAACAGGTGCATATGGGTCAGCAAACAAAAGAGCATACAACCTGCCAGCATCCCACATGGCAGTTAATGTGTTAAATGAGACCCCAAGATTTGTTAGTTCTAATGAATAATTCCCAAAGATCTTACTAAAAGCTGCCTTGACTACAGCCCAAAAACTGTGCAATTAAGCTATGAACAAGACAAGCCTATGTTTAAGTCCCTTTGGCAATGAAGTATGAAGGGAGAAACACTAAGCTTGCACTAGTATGAATAGATGTTGTAGCAATTTCCTAGAAACCTTTAGATAAAGAGTTCTCAAAGGCTCTAAAACCTTCATTCTAAGTTACATTCCTGCAAAAAAAGTTAGCATTAATGCAGCTTTTATTTTAGAATGGTGATGGACTGGAATAATCTCTTGCTGTCAATTCCAGTGGGATCTTGGAAATTTTCAGAGTAACTCTTCCTATCAAAGAACAGATGAAACCCATCAGCCTCTCCCCTCCTGGGATCTTTGTCAGTATGAAACCCAGGGAGAAGGCAACTGGACTTCTTTATTCTGGTGTGATATTGGAAGTACCAAACTCTCTTATTTAAGGGGAGGAAGCAAGGTTTCATTTTGCTATGATTGAAAATTCATTATTTAGCTGTTGTACTTGTGAAAATAAGGAAACCTCTGCATCTTGTAACTTTCCGCTCTTGACTATGTAGTATTGATTTCTTCAGATATTCATGCAGACCCAGCTATTGGAAACCTACACTGGCTTTGGGATCAATATGTCCTCAATGAATGACCTGACCGAGTTTCCTTGGTAGCAGACTTATAAGCACATGCTCAGTTAACATAAGTTGCTTGGGTATGTATGAGAATATCAACTGTAAATCTGACATTGGATGTGGAGATCCTTCTTGTCAATACAGTTAATAATGTTGGTACAAAGGCTCTGCTCCAGAATGTCTCATGAAGTAAGGGACCTGTGCTCACCTTACTATAGGGATGAGTCAGCCTGAGATTTTGATGCTCAAGCCCTGCCTGAGAAGACACTGCTCAACCTGAGCAAACCTACCCATTCAGATCTCATTCTCCTCCTATCTGACCCCAATCATGCTGCATAAGAAAAGCAATAAAAATTGTGATGATAAATGCATGAAAACCTGTATCTTTCTTACTGCAGGTGGCACTCATGCATGAGAAAAATGTTATATATGTGCTTTAAAAAAATTAAGAAGAGAAGATAAAATGAGACTGAGAACCTTTTGTCTTATTCCCTTGGGAAGAGCTAGACCCTTGAGCCCTAATTTCAGCTCAGCCAATAGGATTATCAGGTCTACCTGAACCATTTAAAGAACCAAGTTAAATGGATTAGCTCATGTTCTTTGGGGACTGTTGGTTGGCTGGCTCATCTCTAGTTCCTATGGTTCTTTTCCTTATGGTTTTTTTGTGAGTGTTTCATGGTTAGTTTTTCTTTTCCTTAAATTCTCATGGCATTGATAACTACCAAGAGTTTATATGTTAAAGTTATATATTGTCATTTGTTGTTTCTAGTTTACCACTGGTGTGAGGTGCAGATGAAGATGTGGATCCTCAACATGGGAAAGCCGACTAATATCCCCAAGCTAAATGAATCCCAAGCCATTGAACTGGGAGCAAACCTTCTTGGAGAAGGTCTCATCTTTGTTGTTGCTGCAGGAGCCCTTGTGTTTGAATATCAACGGGGCACCAAGAAGGAGAAGCAGAAAGAGGATGCACAGGAAGAGAGATTGCAGAATATGCAGAATCAGCTCATGGAACTGCAGTTCAGTGCCGATGAACAGGCCACTCGCACCCGTGAACTCACTCGATTGTTGTATGCACTGGATTCCAAGCTTCAAGATTTGAAAGGTCTCACGGTCCATGTAGCAGGAAATGAACCTGCTCGAGGAATATTGTCAAGGACGTTGCAAGATATGGACATTTTACTGAAAGGTGTCTCTTCCAAATGATAAACTTAGTCAAAATCTAGCTTTGTCTTCACAATTTGGTGAAAGCATAACTGTGATCAGTATTTGTAGCAATGTATTTTCATCATTGAGGAGGTTTTTTTTTTACTGGAGTGCCAGGCTACTGCAGACAAAAGTTTTTCGTGTGCAATATTTGCTTTGTGATTGTTCTTGCTTTTCATTTTCCACATCATCTGTCTATGTTTCTGTATGCCCTGGATTCCAAGCTTCAAGGTTGTTTTTTCCATTCTCTGCAATAGAAGCAGTAACCTGGGAAACCCTTGAACAGATTTGCCTTTACTCATTATTTCAGTCATCTTCAATTAATGTATAACATAAGTTACAGAATGGAGGCATTGTCCTAATGAAATTCTTTGGGAGACCTATGTCTGGACTTTTCACTTAGTGGTGCAGCTGCACTGGAGAGGTGTAGGAAGAAAATCTCTACACTTCTTTAGAATCTGCATTCACCACAGTTTTTACATGAAACATAATATTCAGTTGACCTGCCATTACCTGCTATATCAGCAATGGCAAAACCTTTGCTGAATGCTCAAAAGAAGAAGCATATATTCTTTTGTTTAAGTGCTTCAACAATAGACTGGAAAGTGCCTACTTCTTGCTTTTCAGAGTGTTGTTTCAAAAAGCATGATTTTTTGAGCATGAGCAGATACAACTTCAGGGATTGGAGTTCCATGCATGGCATATGCCAAGGAAGATAGTATGAGGTGTACAGACATCCCAGCCAACAATTTGAAACATAACGATGAATCAACAGTAAATAAACATTTGGAGTGTTGATACAATGTTGGTCCAATTTAGCCTTGTTTGCTGGGATGTACAGGTATTTTGGAGTAGAGCAGAAAAATGCGTCCTGACAGTGGAATATTTATTCAAATACTCTATTTGTTCTTCCAGAAATGGAATATGGGCATGTAGAGGTATTTTTAATATATAATTTGTGATGTGATGGAGCATGCTTCTATCACAGAGTCTTTCATTTCCTTCTGGCTACTCAGCTTCATTGCTTATTTAGGGAAAGCTGTACAGAAAATGCATGGTGAGTCATGGTTAAATGAGCATGGATCCTGGATCGTGTTTTTAACATAGTAAGTCTTTTTTTGTGTCTGCTTTGGACGAGAGCTCCTTGCCTCACAATTACGTCCCCACTCAATAAAGGCTTTCTTGTTGACTTTGTGGGATGAGGGTTATGCTTTTGCTTGCAATTTTTGCAGTTAGAGTAATTGTGCTAATGCCAACATAGCCCAAATCTCATTAGTGTAATTTGTGATTTGAATTCGATTTCACAAATTGAGCAGAATTTGGCTTTTTTTTTGGAGAAAGATTTAAAGTTCAAAGTTCAGACTGTGAAACCGATATATTGATTATAGGTAGACTATTGGATTTTCAATTGCATTTCTGATCCGTAAAATTGGATCCAGGTTCCCCATACCTATCATCATCGGCACAGTTGAAACAGATCCATATCAGAATCGCCTTTTGCACTAGTAAATCTGTAAATATTGGCCATGAAGAGTTTTCTTCTCAGCATCCTCGGCCCGTCCATCAGTCCTTGTGATCTCGCTAAACTGCATGCCTTTTCCCTACATTCTCACTATGGCGTGCCGAATCGCCATTTTCGCGCCTTTCGTGGACACTGCTCATAAGCATTTCATTTCCACGAAGCCAAGAAAACTGATGATTCAGGTGAGCTAACTGCCCTGGTTCGTCCAAGGCTTGTTGGAAACTGGAACAAGTTACATTCTAAATGAAGTTGATTTTTAATACAACCATGCTCCTTCCTCTCGTCCCGTTTGCAGTCTCCGAACTAGACAAAGTAGGTTTCCCTGTGATTTGGAGAGGTCAGTGAATGGATTAGACCAACAAAGTCTCAAATCCTCCCAAAAGAAATTCGACTCAATTAAACTCACTTTTCCCGATACAGATTTTTTTCCCTGCTCTCTTTCCTGTGACGTGAGCAACACTGTTGGACTGGCCCGTTGGGACAAGAAGATATTTGTCCTTGGAGAAAGGGTTTGGGGTGAATTCCCTTCCCTTCCAGACCTTCACCCAGTCCATTGGCTGCACGATCGATGCTTTCTGACCAAATCCTATCGTTCTGGGAATTGGAACTCTGCTGTGGGCGCGGCCGCCGAATGGGATTACGTGTTCTCCGTGTACGTAAAAGGGCCCTATTATATATGTACTGACTCCAATTAGATGAGCACCGGTGAGATTCGGAAGGACTAGGCTGGTTACCCCCTTGTCCCGGTCCGTGGGAGGTCTCTTGGAGGTGGGAGGTGTCCGGTAGGAGGTGGCTCCTCCTCCACTCCTCGGTGAGGTCCGCCGCTAAGCCCACACTGCTCTATGGAAAATAACTTCTCGTCTGTGAAGAGGATTCTGCGATGCGAGCCTTTGACGAACCTGCATTTCAGAGATTTGGCGTGTTGCAACCTGTTAGCCATCGACTTCTCATTAACCCATTGAACTTTTTTTTAAGTTTGTAAGCATGCATTTTTAGCGCATCTTTGATCATTCTGCGAGTGCTTTCGCGGCTCACTCTAATTTTCTGGCAGACCTCCGGGGATTGCGCTTCGGTCGCAGTTTAATGATATTCCAGATCTAATTCGTGTTTGTAGTTCGTGGTCGACCTTTTCGAGAACGATCTTTAATGCTCCTCGTTTCTTTGTGACGTTTAATTGCGTTGTAGACCGTTCTTCGAGGAATACCAACCAGTTTAACAATTTCAAAAGCGCGCTTTCCTCTTAAATATAGTCGAGCTGAGCGCTTTTGTTTCATTGCTCCTAAGACATCAATTTTTTTTATATTGATGAAAAAATTCAATTTAGAATAAAGTAATTACAAAAACTGAAGATCAGAAAATTTTGTAAAGACAACATTTTTTTAAGTATAAAATAGTGTGTCAGGACTTTTGGGTCACCCTGTACTGTTGAATGTCACGATATGCCCATGACAATCTCCACCAGATGTCTCTCGCGGGGGAATATAGACCAGTTTGTCCCATTTTCCTACGTTATTTATGCCAGAGAGCTCATTCATCTTCATCTCAACCTCTTTCGCCGAGTTGGATGCTGGGATATGAAATTCTCCAGCGGATGAGACCGAGATGAAGGCTTTTAGATTCTGATGGTCACAATGCCGAGTCGCCAAAACGCAACCTTCGCTTAATCGGCGAACTTTCACTGTTCGACCGAAGTCGAATACGCCCTAGCCCGACCGGAGTCGAATACGCCCTAGTCCGACCATTCTCCCCAGCGGCGCCTTAGTTCCTCCCTTGGACTCCATTCTTCTCTGACTTCCGTTCGTGTTGCATGCAGGGCCGCCGAAAGGAATTGTGAGGCTTGGGGCAATATTCACGTGTGGGGGGGGGGGGGGGGGGGGGGGGGGGGGGGGC